TTTCATGCCACGTCACTTTTTAATCCAGGGTGCGGATAAAAAAGGACCAAAATTGATGAAATCGACAAATTATAGGACCTAAATTGAAAGTGGTCAATATCGGGGTGGTTTTTTGGACAGTGGCCAAATTATAGGACCAATTTTGAAATTTTCCCGCATACCCCTGCTGACCATAGGGTAATGGTACGCGTGCACGAGGTGGTATCGACTTCCCTGCGTAGCGGGAAAAAACATATCCCGACTGATCGTTCGGTCCTGGTGCCGGGGGCATCGAACTGTCTGCCTGGCCAGGATAATAAAATCCTTGCTACGCAGATTTTTAAGGATTTTAAACTTATTTTTCATTTTTTTTTATAGAGCCTTTTCTTATTATATGTTTTTTTTTTTTTTAAAAAATAGTTGTTAGTGAAAAGCAACAGATTATATCTAAACTTTATTGTAATTTCATGTATGTGAGTCTTAACATAAAAATAAATAAAAAAAATAAAACTTTGAAGCGCTTAATCCCTATATATATATACGACCTTTGTTAAGTTCAAAAATCTTGAACTTTGTTGTCAAGCATCCGGGTGTTGATGCATGAATATGCACACCCTAAGAAGTCGAGATTAATTGGATGTATAAGATATAAAATCAGAAACACATATATGTTAAAATGTAATTAAGTTTTCCATATAAATATTTTATACATGCCTTAACATCATGAAAAACAAACTCCAACCCAGTAGTTATTTTTTGTTTGTCGAAAATTTCTTTGACTAAAATTGAATCAATCGCAATATTGCAGTTTTTTTTTTCTTGTTCTTAGCCAAAAAAATCATATTATCAAATTGCATTGTCATTTGGAACTCAAAAGAAAAATTTTGTGTCGAAATAGTTTTCTCGGTAACTGAGATTATGAGTGTGAAAATGCAAGGTGAAAATGTGTCTGATTTTTGTTCTATTTATAATTTTATAAGCATCTACAGAAGTCTATTAAGAAATTAATGTAAATACTAACAAATCAAGAGCATGATTATTATTGAAAATATTTTGATAACTGAAAAAATATGAACTACATACTAAGGCTTTTATTTTAGAGTCAAAATTTTTCATTCTTCTCGTAATAATTATTATATTATTATATATATATACTTATATAATAAGAATTAACATTTACTATAATTAGTTATCAAATTATTCAGACAACATTTCAAAAATACTAATTTTGGAATTTTTCGGACAGCCCATGCATAGCCAAAATATTTTGGCGTTGGTTACATAAACTTAAAAATCGGAACACGATCTCATATTTTAATTCAAACTGTTTGAAATTTGATTAATATATGTCAGCCCATGCATAGCCAAAATATTTTGGCGTTGGTTACATAACTTAAAAATCGGAACGCGATCTCATATTATAATTCAAAATGTTTATTTGAAATTTAATTATTATACGTTCCAATATCTGATTCAATACACATCTATTACCATTAAAGCTCTAACAAATATTGAATACCAATTTAAATAACAAATTATTTAGACATTTTTTTTACATTTTCGATCTATATATACATACACATATACGTAATAAATGTTAAACACATATACATATATAATAGATGTTAAATTTAAATATTTTTAGACATATTTTCTTTACAAGATGTTGTAGGTGGCTTCACACCTTTAAAAAATAATATAGAAAATTTTGGATATTTTTACATATATTAATATAATAATTTAGGTGTTTTTTAATATTTTAAACATGCAATTTTATATTCTATTATACAAGATAATTTATTTGACCTCACATCTTTAATTTATAATTATTATTTAATGTTATTTATACTCTATTTTAATTTATAGTTATTCTTTTTTTCCTCTTTTTAAAGAGGATCAATATTAATTCTCACTTCCTCCATTGAGTGACTCAAACTCGATTCATATTTATAATTACTATTTAATATTATTTTCCGTGCATCGCACGGGCTACACACTAGTTAAAAAATATGGAAAATCAAATATACAATATATTTATTGGACTGCCAACTTTTGATTTTAGCGAAAATATATTGGTTGTCTTGTAAATGTGCCATAATCTCAATTCTTGATTTTTTTGTAATTGAAATATCAAATTTAATTATCCAAATGAGAACTATATAATATATATATATATAAATTAAAAAAAAATCAATCTCGTGATAATATTTATGTATAAACAATTAGTCAATTTTCATCGTGTGTAAAAGTAAAAAAAATCACATACCGTACAAACAATTGGACCAAAATCAATATACAATAATGTGTTATTGATTTTCTCGCAATTTATGAGTTGGTGTTGAGTTTCTGATTATTTATTTGTTGTTTTAGGATGCAATGTTATTATAACCAATGAGCTTTTGATTTTTCAACATTGATTTTCTTATACAATGTTGATTTTAGTATTTAATAAAATTATAATATTAACATGCATTTATTTTTTAAATGGAATTAGTTATTATAATTTAATATCACTAATCTTTTTCATCATTTGCAGGAATATCATATCTAAATGGATTGCAAGAAATAATATTATATTGAAGCTATGGGGTTTAATTGGATTTTGTACACGCTTTATAATATTAATGTTGATTGTTGGTAAATTTATTATTAATTTTCTTTTACTTTATAACTATTTTTAAAGAGAAGTTCAGACTAAAAGGAAATTTAAAAAATGAATGATAACAAATAATACTTTAACCAATAACATTTTGCCACGTCAGTTTAGTCAATACGAAAAAAAAAGGAAAAAACGTAAATGTTGAATTAAGTAAAAAAATACTTACCTTATTTAAGCCAAAATGGTTTTCGAGGGAAAAGTATAGATTAACAAAAATTAGGTTAACAATACACCCGTTGAAGATTTAAACTGCAGATACTTCATTTAAATTACAGAGCAGGTTGTCTTCCTTCTTTAACAAAAATTAGGGTAAAAATACACCCGTTGAAGATTTAAACTGCCATACTTCATTTAAATTACAGAGGATACATTCCTCCTCCTCAAATCGCAACTGTTGGAAATTTGGCCCAAGATCTCAGGCCCAAGGAAGCCCCAGCCCAATCCCGTCTGGGCCTGGCCCTCACTTACCCGAATTAATCCATACCGTTGGATTAAGGGATTAAATCCCAACCACTCACTCACACCATAAAAACCTATCTCTATCTCTCCGCTCAAACACTCTGCTCTCTTCTCTCTCGCACAGCGCCTCTCCCTTTTCTCTCTCTGTGAAAGAAACCTGACTTCTACCTGTATACCTTCTTCGTGACCTTTGTCGAGAGAGCCATCGTCTTGTCGCTGTGAGTGCTGCCGTCTTGAAGCCCTTGTGCCGTCACTGTCGCTCTGCTCAACCCGCCGGCCAAAGTCCTTGTGTAGGGCCTCCGGCGAATCTCTTAGAGAGAGGAGGGGCATCGCGACAGAGGACCGGGTGCGGGGCTCGTGAGTGAGGTGCAGCCCGGGGAAGGGCTGAGGAACCGGGGCCGCCGTTCGTTGACCACCGCCGAGCCGCTACTTACCGAGGGTGCCGGGCTCTAGGGCTATCTGAGCCGGGAGAGCTGACTTCGTGTCCCTCTCCTTCAGTCGTCGTCGAAAGGGAGTTTTACCATTCCTTCTCTTTAATTCCTTTACAGCATATTACTTAGTGTAATTTTCCTTTGATTATTGTTGTTATTAGGAATTAAGTGGTGTGTTTGATTTCAGTTGAACCAGGCTGAAAAACGGGCCTGAAAGAAGCTGATTGAATCTGCCCGGGAGCTCGGACAGCGGTTCGGGAGTCAACTGTAGACGAGCAGCAGCTCCTGAAAGCCGAGCCTGAAAGCCGAGAGGGCTTGCTAGCGGGTCGGTCGAGCTCAAGAGAAGCTTCTGCTGCCAATGAGTCGAGCGGTTGAGTCGGGACGGCCACACAACAACAACAATTATAAAGCTGAATAGTAGATTGAAATTGCCAAATTGGGGTGCCTACGTATGAAAAGTCACAAAATCCTCCCCTTCCCGATGGCCTCCACGAAAGACTGCCACTCTGAGTTTCACTCTGAGTTTAACTCACAACCATCGTCAACATTCTTGAGCAGAACCATACGGTAAACTCGCCCGTTGTCATCTACCATACACCATACAAAGACTCTCTGAGGATATTGATTGACCCAGAGGTGAACATAACGCCAATATGTTGTTGTTTACCTCTGGAGTCAATCAATATCCTCAGAGTCTTCGTATGGTAGATGACAACGGGCGATTTACCGTATGATTCTGCTCAATAATGTTGACGAGGGTTCAATCTGTGAGTTAAATTCAGAGTGGCAGTCTTTCGTGGAGGCCCATCAGTTGCGGGAAGGGGATTTTGTTACTTTTCATACGCTTGAGACGGGAATAATCGCCCTCAACCACACTATAGACTGTCCACGATAAGGAGGTTGATTTTTTTATGCCTTAGTTTCTTGATTAATTTTTTGTAAAAGATGTCTTTTTTCTTTAGTGGGGTTTTTTCTGAAAATTGCACCTGCCTAACCTTTTCTTAATTGGGTTTTTTAAAAATTTTCATCTTTTTTTCTCTTCTGATATGACAGATCATAATTACTCTGACTTTGCATGCACCGTTTTGGGCCTTGTACTAAATTAATTGGAAATTTAACTTGTTTTTCTTTTTATCTGTCCTTAATAGCCTATGGGATCCACTAAAATCGATTTCTTGAATGAGTCTTTGTCAAAAATTTGTATCTTTTTCTCTGCCTGAAGTTTGGAATAAGTTATGAAGTTTGGAATAAGTTAATAGATGGCTGGGCTTGCAAGTCACTATCATTAGCTATTAAAATAATATTCAAGGGTTGGCAAGAGATTGAACTAATTACTGTTTTTAAGTAGTTTCAATTTGAGATGCTTTATTTATGCTTTTGTGATTTTGCTAGGGGTTGGGGTGACTGTGTTGTGATGTTAAGTACCATTGTTTAGCCAGTTATTAATGATGCTTTGGAACTGAAGTTAGAGTTTACTTAGAGTTTACTGTTTGTGTTTTGTGGTCACATTTCTTTGCCTGAGGACAGTGACCATGTTTGACAGTGTCCTCTCCATAAGAACTTAGCAAACCAAGGTACTGGTTGTAATTACACGAATTCACGCTTCTTATGATATCATCAGATGGATCACATGGTACGATGTATGAACCACCATCGATGCTGCAAATTACAGAAAAATAAAAACGAGTTAAATTTCAAATTAATCATTGATATGAATCTATCATATCTTTTCTTTTTCAACCGAAAACTCATTACAACATCAACCTCGACCAACATGGTCACTGTCCTCAGGCAAAGAAAAATGACCACAAAACACAAACAGTAAACTCTAAGTAAACTCTAACTTCAGTTCCAAAGCATCATTAATAACTGGCTAAACAATGGTACTTAACATCACAACACAGTCACCCCAACCCCTAGCAAAATCACAAAAGCATAAATAAAGCATCTCAAATTGAAACTACTTAAAAACAGTAATTACATCAATCTCTTGCCAACCCTTGAATATTATTTTAATAGCTAATGATAGTGACTTGCAAGCCCAGCCATCTATTAACTTATTCCAAACTTCAGGCAGGCAGAAGAGAAAAAGATACAAATTTTTGACAAAGACTCATTCAAGAAATCGATTTTAGTGGATCCCATAGGCTATTAAGGACAGATAAAAAGAAAAACAAGTTAAATTTCCAATTAATTTAGTACAAGGCCCAAAAAGAAAAACAAGTCAAAACTTTCACCCCTCTGGACCAGCCATCCTCACCTTACCTCTGCTTAGCAAAGCCTTATGTTCACTTCTTCCGAGAGATGATTCATCTGATCATCAAGCTGCATAATAGGAAAATGTCATTTGGAGGTTTCGATGTGAGTAATCTAGGTATCTTCAGAGATGGGAAAAAGAGAGAGTAAAATTCATCGGTCGCTTACTGGTTTTTCCATCGAACGAAGATAAAAAGAAGCAGGATTTCCATTCTGCCGCAGCTGCAATTCGTTCAATTGTAGAGGATGTAGGTCCTCTACCTCTCCTAGAAGATTTGGTATTGAGAATGGAAAACAATGCTTGGTATTTTTCATTTCCTTTCATGTTGAACTTATGTTATTATTGTACGCATTTTTCAAATCTAATTGTGATGTTCATAATTTCAGTTTAAAAAACAAGCGATTGGTTATGAATCATCTGGCTCTGATGAGCACAACCGAAAAAATGCGTTTTATACGCAACTGCAAAGAAAGAAAACCGGCAAAAAACGATCATTACAAGGCTGAATATAAACGTGCGATTGATGGTATGGGTTGCACTGACGGTTGGAGTAGACAGTTTAGCAAAGGAACAGGGCCGCTGCACGAGATTTTCTACTTTCGACATTCCCGGTATTTCGATGGAGCCATGTTTTCTAGGAGTGACGTGAATGAGTCTCTTCTCAACTATTGCAGAAATGCAATGGTGCATTTGAAAGAAGAGCTGATTCGGGTAAGAAGAAAACAAGTCATTAACATGGTAAGGTACATATAGAATCTGTTTTAATTTTTCATCTTGATTTCCAGAGTGGTATATACAAGAAGAGGGTTAGGGATGACTTTCTGGTCAAGTCCGTAATGTCCCAGTTCGAGAAGCAACTGCTATCCTTCCAAGTGCAAATTCACAAACGTAAGATATGGCGCAAATTCCAGGTACTACAAAGATAAGTGTTCTCATTGTCTGTGTTCCTTTTTTTTTTTTTTTTTTTTTTTTTCAGGGAATCCGGGCCTGATTCGCCAAGTTTGACGACCTGGATCTTTGTTGATTGAAAAATGCCTCTCTCAGTGTTGCTTGTTAGGGCCGTGTAGCTCTTGCTCCTTCTTCTTGTTTGTGTTTTTTTTTGCTATTTTCCTTTGCATCTAGTTTGTTCTGACTTTGAGAAGGGTTTGTGCTAAATGGCTGCTGCTTGATGGATTTTACATGATTCATGTTATGGAGTTTTTGGGTTTTTTAACAAAGGATGCTTTTGACAGATATTTGGGCTTTTTCAGGTTGATGTGTTTTTTTCAGGTTGTGTTTTTTACTCTAACAAAGGATGCTTGTGACATATATTTTGGGTGTTTTTTTCTTTTTGCTCATAAATAAATGGCAAGGCATAATTTAAACATCTTTTTTTGCTACAGCAAAAACTAAAAGATAATTTAGTCTCTCATTTGTGTTGAGTTATGCTGGTTGGCAGGGGAAGAGATAAGGTTGGATTATTTTCGAGTTTTGAAAATGTAATAAAATGTTAAAAACAGTAAAATAGCCCCAAATTTATATGTTGTTTGGATGAAATTTTGAAGGGATGAATATGAAGATAATATGATATTTTTAGTGTGTGTGTATGTGTGTGTGTGTTTTTGTGTCTCGCAAAAGTTAGATGGGTAAAACTAAAATGTGAAATGGAAAATTTTCATTTGGAAATTATAAAGAGTGATAATTATACCATTTGGATAAATGAACTTGAATAAAGTGTGTTCTCTTGATGATTTCATATTTTAGCTAATCATTTTTCTTTATATGGAAAATGGAAGACAATGAATATAGAATATTTTGAAAAAAATATATATATATCTCAATGTAAAATTAATGAAAAAGTGGGAAAATTTTGAATGGAAAAAGTATCTGTTTATTAGTTTGTAAATGAATTTGAGATAAAATGTAATAATTATATGTGATATAATATAAAAATTTTAAAATAATAATTTTAAATGATTCATAGTTAAAACTATGTGGGTAGATAAATAGTGAATTTTATTGAAAAATATACATTAATAATTGTTTTATATTTTTTAATTGTTGATAATATTATATATATAAATATATATAAATAGATNAAATATGTCTTCTTACAATTCTAATAAATAATTATTCGGGTAGACGAAACCGAACTTTATGTACATCTTATCTCCTCGGTAATCAAATCCCATATGCAGATTAGGACATATGATTAATTTATGAAAGTTGCAATCCAGAAAGAGTTGCAAGAAAAAGTAATTAATTTATCTTACTCGGTCCTTATGAAATAAGTAATGTACGAAAAAAAAAATGGTGTAATAAAATCCAAATTTAACATATCAACCTTTTTCGACGACATCTTAGTGATTTTCATGCCAAAATTTCATAAGTGGCGAGATAGAACAATAGAAGATTGGGATGATTACAGAACTACCCCTGGTTTGGTGAATTTGTAAAGTAATCGTTATTTTCGTTTTTTTTTTCCTTTGGAAAGGTAGGGTTGGATAATTCATAATTATAAACATCCGAGTGTATGTTTTTATTAAATTACCCCAAAACCTCACATATAGCCTCCCGAATAATAATAAAATAAGAACTAATCACCGAACCTCCATAGCGTCATCTTTGTCCTTCAAGCTTTGATCTTTCTCATGACATGTTTACGCAGTAATATGACATCTTTCTGCAGCATGTCGTACAACAAGCCCGAAACACAGTCTTCATTTTCAGTTTTCAACTTATCAGTCAAAACAAACCCATTCCCGTTCTGAAATGGCTTAGTTACTCCATTACCATTTTGGCTCTCCTTCCCATGAGAAGGCTCCCTATCATTGTTTTCTCTCTCTGGAGCCACCTTTTCACCATTAGTCAGTTCCCTATCACCGTTAAATGAGCTCGGCAAAATTTTCACGTGATTTGGACTACTTATCCGGGGTGATCTTGAAATTATCGTTTTCATGGACAAAAATCCATTTGAAGGTGGTGTGGAGAAGTTTCCCAATACTCCTTGTGACTGTCTACGTGATCTCCCATTACTCATGCTTCTTCTTTGTGATGAAGCACGGTTAGTGCCATTGGGATATTTTGACCCTTTCCTCCAAAACTTTAAAGCGTAATTGGAATTTTTCCTATTAGTAAAATGACGAGTGTTTTAACATCTGCTTTTTAATAAACGACTGGCAGCAGAAAAGACTACAAATCATAAGCATTGTCACCTTCATTTGTGCTTCCGCCTTGGCTGCACGCTCTACAATTGCCAGCTTATCATTCAGTTGTTGCATTTCTCCCTGTTACATAAATTGTGATACAAGAACATTACATTGTAAAAGAAGTCAACGAGGACTTGTCAAGTGCCATATCAGCAATGAGACTAAACCTAATGCACCTGATCCATCTCAACATGATCTCAGGCAAGTTAAGCACGGTGTGGACGTGCTGCATGATCACATGCACCAGCATGACAAGGAAAAACGGTTATCTTGCAAAACTGCCAAGTGAGAGAAAGAGTTGGTTGTGATTTAACTTGTATAAATGAGAGTGTTGATGTTATGTAAAATTATCGAGCTCTTATGTATTGCTCCTTAAGAAACTTGAAGAATAGATTCGTCAAGAATATTTTCTGTTATTGATATTCCATGCAAATATATTTTGATCATGTTTGATTTAGAATCCTTTTATGGTATCAGAGAACCAAGCTAATCTTGGTTGTTTTGTTGCCAAATTTTTTTTTCTCATTTCTTCTTCTCGANTCCTCATCATGGCATCCTCTTCAATCACACCAGACCAAATGGCATCCTCTTCAATCACACCAGACCAAAACCAACTCATTTTTCCCCAAAGTCAGCTTATTTCTTTGAAGCTAAACGAGACAAATTACTTGGTGTGGCAGCAGCAAGTCATTACAGCTATTAGAGGCTATGGACTCTATCAATACATTGCACCAGATCAGAAAGTCCCTCAACAAATCCTACAAGAAGGATCAAATGAGCCCCATCAGAACCCAAAATACTTGTTATGGGTAAGGCAGGATCAAATCCTAGCCTCTTGGCTCTTATCTTCCCTCACTGAGTCAATCTTAGTGACCACAGTGGGATTAACCACCTCCAAACAGATATGGGACAGTCTTCAAATTGGTTTTGCAAGCCAATCCAAAGCCAAAATTCTGCAGTACAAATTGAAGTTACAAACAACCAAGAAAGGAGGATCTAACATGAGAGATTTCCTCAATCAAATCAAATCTTGTTGTGATGTACTTGCAACAGTAGGCCAATTAGTTACAGAAGAGGAACATATGATGCACATTTTGGCAGGACTTGGTCATGACTACAATCCAGTCATGGTAAGCATTATGTCAAAGGCAGAAGCCATATCTCTCAGAGAAGTGCAATCTCTCTTACTTACTTTTGAAACAAGATTAGAAGCCATGAACTCAGAGCAGCCTCAATATGGTTTTGATGGTTCTACACCAAATATCAACCTCATTGAACAAACTCATGGAAGAGGAAGAGGAGGTATTCAATCCAACAGAGGCAGAAGTCAAGGTACACAAAGAGGAGGAAGATTTGGTAGGGGAAGAGGAAGAACAGGAAATAAAACTGTAAGATGCCAAGTCTGTTTTTATAGTGGTCATACAATAGATCGATGTTAGCATAGATTTGACCAGAATTTTATTCCAAGCAACAACAATGGACCTCAAGGAAGAGGAAGAAACCATTCAGTCAATTCCACAAGCATTGTCACAGCACAAATAAGTGAAGGATCAGAAGATGGCAATTGGTATCCTGATTCAGGTGCAAGCAATCATGTTACCTATGATTTGGCCAATTTAAACCTTGCATCTGAATACCAAGGTTCTGAAAAAGTACAGGTTGGAAATGGTAAGAGTCTTCAAATCTCTCACATTGGTAACTCTATAATTACCTCCAATGAAAATAAATCTTCCCATTTTGTTCTTAATAACCTACTTTTTGTTCCAGAAATAACAAAAAATCTAATGAGTGTGTCTCAGTTTGCCCTTGATAACCAAGTGAGTTTCACCCTCAATGTTGTCTTGTGAAGGATCAAACCACAGGGGAGATTTTGCTAAAAGGGAGAGTTAAAGATGGTCTCTACACTTTCAACTTTTCTAGCTTCAATGGTGATCAACCAGCTTCAATTAATCATGCTGTTTCAGTTAATTGTGCTCAAAAGAAAAATGAGAATGTAACTCTTTGGCATTCTAGACTAGGACATGCTCCTTTTGATATCATTAAAAGAGCCTTACCTGATTGTAATTTTTCTTTGAACATGAATGAAAATCACAGTCTTTGTCAATCTTGCTTGCAAGGAAAGATTCACAAACTTCCTTTTCCTATTTCCACCAATGATGATTATGATGTTCTAGGATTGATCCATACAGATTTATGGGGTCCAGCTCCAATTAAATCTTTTAATGGATATCATTACTATGTGAACTTCATAGATCACAAAACCAGACACTCCTGGATATATCTCCTCAAAGCAAAATCAGACACTTTTGAAGCCTTTCTCCACTTTAAAAGCCTTGTTAAAAATCAGTTTGAAAAGAAAATTAAAATTGTGCAAAGTGATGGAGGGACTGAATTCAAAGCACTTTCACAATTCTTCCTTAAAAATGGCATAGCACACAGAATATCTTGTCCATATACACCTCAACAAAATGGCCTTGCTGAAAGAAAGCATAGGCACATTGTAGAGGTCGGATTGTCTCTCTTATCTCAGTCACAACTTCCATACAAGCATTGGGATGATGCCTTCTTTACAGCTTGTTTCCTCATAAACAGACTTCCTTCAAAGATCCTTGATTATAAATCACCATTGGAGCTATTGACAGGCAAGAGACCAGATTATACTCATCTCAAGGTATTTGGTTGCTTGTGTTATCCATATTTAAAACCTTACAACAAACACAAGTTAGAGCCTAGAACTCAACCTTCAACTTTTCTTGGATATAGCCAGCAATATAAAGGTTACAAAGCCTTACTTCCAAATGGAAAAGTCATAATCACCAGACACATACACTTTGATGAAACCATTTTCCCTTACCTTCACAAAAACAAAACCCACGCAAATGATTGTAATACTCCTCAGTATATCTCCCAAATTCCTGCTACTGTACCTATTGAACTCCCAAGAACAAATTCAGAAACCAGCATACCTCACACATCTTTATCATCTAATCACCATCACTCAACAAGCCACCATTCACCACATCATCATCTTCACTCACCAAATCAACACTCCTCTTCAAACTCATCCACATCACCCAACATTCCCATTGGAGATATTTTTATAGAATTACCAATTGAAAGAGATAATGAGAATCATGCCATTTCTAATGCTTTTAAAAGATAATATTGAAGCCTTACAGGATAATGTTCATCATATGACAACTAGATCAAAGGCAGGGATTTTCAAGCTAAAAGCCTACTCACAGGAAGTGAAAGAGAATCCATTAAAGCTTAATATGGAACCAAGGAGCGTTGATGAAGCTTTTGCATCTTCTGAATGGAAAGAAGATATGAATAAGGTGTACCAAGCTCTTCTAAAAAATCACACTTGGTCATTGTGTGAAGCTCCCAAACACAAAGATGTTATAGGAAGCAAATGGGTGTTTAAAGTCAAGAAAAATACTGATGGGACTGTGGCCAGATACAAGGCACTACTAGTGGCAAAAGGATATACACAACAACTTGGTTTTGACTTCACATAAACATATAGTCCTGTCATAAGACCAGTTACCATAAGAGCTGTACTTGCCATTGCCTTATCAAGATCTTGGAAGCTCAGACAGGTAGACATTGATAATGCTTTCTTATATGGTGATCTTGACATTGACTTATACATGGAACAACCACCAGGTTTTGAAAGATCAGATACATCAGGAAAACCTCTATTTTGCAGACTTCGTAAATCAATCTATGGACTGAAACAAGCATCTAGAGCTTGGTCTTCAAAATTATGCAATGTGCTTGAATCTTTTGATTTCCAAATGTCCAAGGCAGACTCCTGTTTGTTCTATAAGCATAAAGATGGCAACTCTACTTTTATTCTCACTTATGTTGATGACCTAATCATCACTGGAAGTGATGATCTCTACACACAGCAAGTCATCAATGATTTATCCAGAGTGTTCTCATTAAAGGATTTGGGTGAGCTGACTTATTTTCTTGGGTTTGAGGTGATTAGAAATTCAAATAGAATTATTCTGTCCCAGAAAAATTATATACAGGGTATTCTAATCAAAGCTGAGATGCAAGAAAGTAAAGCTCTCAACACTCTTATGGTGACAACTCCCCTCACAAGATCTGAAGGTCAGCCTATAGAGAATGCTTGTTTAATTGGTGCTCTGCAATATGCAAGCATCACAAGACCAGATATATCATTCAGTGTGAACAAAGTGAGCCAATTCATGCAGAATCCCACAAAGGTTCACTTCAAGGCATTAAAAAGGTTGTTAAGATACTTGTGTGGAACTCTGAATTATGGCTTGCAGTTTTATGAGAAATCTCATGATCAAATCATTGGTTTTGCTGATGCTGATTGGGCCTCGGATTTAGACGACAGAAAATCAACTTCAGGTTTGTGTTTTTACTTGGGCAAGAATCTTGTGGCTTGGAGTTCTAAAAAGCAAAATATGATCTCAAGATCAAGCACAGAATCTGAGCTTAGGAGTTTGGCTTCGGTTACTTGTGAAATAATGTGGTTGCAATCCCTTCTCAAGGAACTTCAATTCCAGAACAATGCACCATCAATAATATGGATAGATAATAGAGGTGCAATATCCTTAGCTTGTAACCCCATTCAACACTCTAGAACGAAACATGTTGAGATTGACATGCACTTCATAAGAGAACAAGTCAACAACAAGAGAATTTCCATACGACATGTTCCTTCTCTATACCAAGTTGCTGACATCTTGACAAAACCTCTAAGTGGACAATTCTTCGCTCGCTTGCGTTCACAACTCAACATTGTATCACAACCGATGTTCGAATTGAGGGAGGCTAAAAGAAGTCAACGAGGACTTGTCAAGTGCCATATCAGCAATGAGACTAAACCTAATGCACCTGATCCATCTCAACATGAACTCAGGCAAGTTAAGCACGATGTGGACGTGCCGCATGATCACATGCAACAGCATGACAAGGAATAACGGTTATCTTGCAAAACTGCCAAGTGAGAGAAAGAGTTGGTTGTGATTTAACTTGTATAAATGAGAGTGTTGATGTTATGTAAAATTATCGAGCTTTTATGTATTGCTCCTTAAGAAACTTGAAGAACAGATTCGTCAAGAATATTTTCTGTTATTGATATTCCATGCAAATATATTTTGATCATGTTTGATTTAGAATTCTTTTACTGAATAAGATACTCCCTCGCTCAATACGAGATAATTTCTCCATTTTTTTATTTCTTGAACATTTGAAACATATTGTCAAATATATAACCTGACTCCAAAAATAATTATGTGATTATAAAAGCTATAGAAAAAAAATAGCTCATTCATTATTTATTTACAAATCAGCTCCTTCGTGACAGATTTTTTTTCTTTTTTGTGTGTGTGTGTGTGATAGCAGTTATGACTTTTTTACGTGTTTGACATCACCTAATAGAGATGAAAGAATGAAAGGATATTGAATTTAGAATATGTTATGCTGATTTTTGAGATCTTAATTACTGCTAAATCTTTGGGATTTTGATTAATTATTCTCAAATGCTATTATTTTTTTCCTCTTTACTGTCTATTACCATTGTAGATTCTATATAATTTAGTACATAAGAGAGGTTGTCAATAGGATGAGTACGAAGAGATTTAGTTTGTAATAGCAATTGGCTATTGGGCAAGTTTCTCTTGCTGAGCAGAGATTTAATTCATGTTGGAGAAGTTTAATACTTCTCATTTATCCTTGTTACTATTTCGTCAATAAAATTCCTTTCGCGATTCTTTACTCCTAACATCACCACATTAATTGAAAAAAAAGAAAAAAAAAAACATCACCACATTAATTGACCTCATAACTTTTTTGGAAATTGAACAATCAAATTCATTGCCAGAACCTGATAGAATTTCCTTTCCTCAAGCCACTGCTTTACTGGCATAACTTTGTCGCTGGCATCTTTCCAATCATTTGCCACGACGACAGCCACACGATTTGCCGATATCTTAGCACGAGCCAACTCACGGTCTAGAATTCTTTTCTCTTCCTGCTCACGCTTTGGAAATTAGCAACTTCTCGAGAAACACATGATTGTCAACTCTATAATGTGTTGCACAGAACTTCTATTGAAACAATAAACGAAGTCTCGAATTTAAGACACTTACATTTATTTCTTGAACTTTTCTTTGGTATTCACAAACAGCATTTGCTGCAGCACCTCCAGCCAAAACAGCCTCCTCGAGCTCCCTAACTGTTTGCGTTAGCTTCTCAACTTCCGAAACCTTTTGTCTATGCATTTTGCCAATATTTTATTCTCCTCCTGATATGATACAGAAAATAATATCAGAAATCTCCACCTGAACCTGATTCACATTATCAGATAGGCATAAACTTTTCGAAAAGACCAAACCTGGCATATCTCGATCTGTTTCCCCAGCTCTTGGTTTTTGTTCTGCAAATCATCAACCAATGATGCTTTTGCTAGAGCCATCTGAACCGTGCGTTCGGCTTCCAAGAGAGCGGCCTCTTTCGATTTAGTGAGCCGGTCGAGTGCTTTATTATCCTCCTGTAGCTTTGCCACCTAATGAAGAACAGCATCCATGTATGATCAGATAACATCTACATCAATTCAAAATAATAACTGATGAAAAATTTAAAGTGATAAAATTGTTTCCATACCTCAGTACGTGTTAGTTTCAGCTCGGCCTCCAGCGGCGTGATGATTGCCTCGATTGGGGGCATCTCGTCATCTTTCTGGGCACTATGCACCCTTCTAAGTGTGGCCTCAGCAGCAAATTGTGCAGCCAAGGCTGCCTTTTTCTCCTCATTTATTTTTTTAATTTCAAGATTATTCTGAGATTCACATGTGAGGATGGAGTATTAATAAAATACTATAGAATTCATAATTTATGTAACCCTTCAGTTCAAGAATGTAGATAATGCACACACACACACACACACAGAAAAACCGTTAGAGGTCGGGGTCCGCATGCACAGACACACACACGCACACACAGAGTGAGAGTATAAAGAATTGAGATAAACCGAAACATACCTTGCTTTCAAGTTGACATTCTGTCGCTTTCAACTTCTCGTCTACTTTCTTCAGCTCATCAGTAAGCTAGCAGAATCAAAATGATGTAAGAGGAATACTCTCTTTGACAAGGAGTTAATTTTTAAGTGCTCATAAACAAGCATCTCCATCAAAACATAGATAATGTAATAAATAGCAAAATATCAGTCAGAAAGAAGAAATGGCGTTTTGAATGAGTTGGGCAACATAATCATTTATTAGCAAATGAATTTCAGAAGATAACTGGCTAACCTCAATGGTTTATCTTCATAAGTATTTCCCCAAATTATGTTGGCACACCCAACAAGGTGATGAAAATTCTAGTTCTCTAAGCATAATATAAGTTTGAAAATAATTTTGCAGCACCCCCACTGTAACTTATAGTCTTCATACAGAATTTGTCAGTATGAGAACAAGAAAACATCGGAGTTGTTAGCATACCTCTTCAACGGCCTTCTGTTTCAGGCGTTCTGAGTACTTCAATGCTTTTATTTTTGCATGTGCCTCTCCCAGTTCTCAATCCTTCTCTACACATTGGAAATATTATTTAGTAAGAACACCAAAACACGCTTGCACTTGTTTAATTTACCTTACAACAAGTATATTCAAGCTAAAATCAGGTACTTCTAACTTTGATAAAAAGAAAAGGGCAGCTTGGCCTCAAGTGCTTCAAGACATAACCATTGGATAATTAAGACAAGTGTCGAACCCAAATTATTTTACTTCAATTGTTCATACATCAATTGACTGTAGGATTGTAAATTGCTTTTGAACAACTGCCAGATACAGTTGGCAGGCTAAAAGCCGGAGTTGAGGCTCTACGGCGAGTTAATATAAATGTCGACTCAGCCAAAGTCGAGACTCTACAATGGGAACATATAAACGACTCAACCGGAGTCGAGACTCTACGACGAGGAAATATAAGCGTCGACTCAGCCAGAGTCGAGACTCTACGGCGAGGAAATATAAACGTCGACTCAGCCAAAGTCGAGACTCTACGGTGAGGAAATATAAATGTCGACTTAGCCGGAGTCAAAGCTCTACAGCAAGGATATATGGACGTCAGCTCCGGCATAGATAAATTTTGCCCCGACGTTGATAAATGAACTCGACCTCGTTGTACGTAAGTGAATTTGACCCGAAACTGATAAATGAACTCGGCCTCGTTGTAGGTAAGTGAATTCGGCCCCGACATTGATAAATGGGGTTGAAAACGAGCAAATGATGAATCGGTCCGGTGGGACTGGGCTTGTCTGCAAGCGAATAATAACTCGATCCAGGAAAGTTGGTCCCATTGGCGAGTGAATGATAAACCAGCGCAGAGTGATGGACCAGGAATTGTCGGTGAGTGAATTATGCTTTTCTAACCGCGAGATCGGGCCCCGGTTGCAAGTCTGGGCACCGTTGAGAAGTTGCCCCCATCTTGAGTAGTCGAACAAGTGTTGAGGTCGACCGAGCGAGGAAGTCGGTCTGTCTATGGAAGTCGGCCGATTTTTCCGACAATCAACTAGGTCGTCCGTGATTAGGTCGCGATTTCGGGCTAGGCAATCTTTGAGGTTGGTTGCCCGTCAGTTGGTTTGGTAGATTGATTCGAACGACGAAATGGTCAGCCCGGTAACAATTTGGGGATCCATCGATGAACGGTTGCTATCTCTGGCCTTTTCGCTCTTTCATTCTTATTTTGACTTTTTTTTTGAGTGTATGTATACATACATGTACACATTTATTATTGTATGAATATACATATATATATATATATATATACATATGTGTATGTATGTACGTATTTATAATGAAAGCGAGAGTAGGATTACCTCCGGCTGGTGAAGAGTGTAGGCCTAAGAATATTATTGTCTAGGGAAGTCGGTTCTTCTTTTGCTCCTATTCTTCAAGTTCCTGACGAGCTCCTCGACTTTGCAATTTTTGTTGCTTGTCTCGACCTATTTCTATCTATTCTATCTATTACAATATTTTTAGGGTCTTTACATTTACATTCTCTATAGATAAAATTACAGGCCCCTGCATCACTATCTGGTCCCAGTGCCTTCACTCCCTTTAAGTAACTTTATAAACCTACAGTATTTCTATTATCAGGCCCAAGTCCTAATTAACTTAATGCTACGACTGGGCCCAAATTCTACGTACTCTAACTCCACTGTTGGCCCAAAAGAAAACCTTAGTAATGCTCTCGTGATTAGAATGGTTGTGGTAGAGCTTTTCCCAAAGCGCCTCTCAAATCGCCGATTGCTAATCTTTCTCTTTCAGAAAATTTCTTTCAATTCAGTTGAATCAGAGTGTAACAACAAATTTTATGAAAAATATAAAACTTTGGTATAACTTGAATATATATTGATCAAACGATATGCGAGTATAATCTCTATATGGAACCCTCTGATTCTTTTCTTATTATAACTTAACTTGAATGTCGTCGATCTTCAAAAACACATTTGGATCTTCAAGAGAAAAACACCTTTGGATCTTCAAGAGAATTATTGAGAGCTCTTAGAGTTGAGACTTTCATGATTTATGAGGTATTGAATTTTTTGAGGTGTTGGATTTTTTTGAGGTATTTCAGGTGTTTGAGGTGTCTTAGGTGTTTGAGGTGTGATTTGTGACTTTGAGGAGAGCCCTATTTATAGGTGTAGGGGAGAGTCTTAGAGAGGAAGACCTCAATTTGATTGGTCCTTCTTGATTTGATATAATCTCTTTCCTTATCCTAAGATTTGATATAATCTCCTTCCTTATCCTAAGATTTGACTTGGTGGGCAAGAAATATATACTTTATTAATTAAATATCTTATTTATCTTGGATTTATGTCCCAAAATAAATAAAGACATTAATTAATAAAATATTAAAATTTCGATGTCTACAAATGCCCCCTTGAGACTTGTTCACGGACAAAATGTCTTGGTAGTGAATGAGTCTCAAATTTTTGAATTTGGTTTGGACATGCAGATAGTTTAAGCTCTTATCTAGGAGTTTTTCGACTTGAGTTTGTAGATAGTTTAAACTCATATCAAGGAGTTCTTCATTTGACTTGATTTGTAGATAGTTTAAACTCGTATCAAGGAGTCTTGATTTGATTTGACAAATAGTTTATACTCGTATCAATGAGCTTTTGATTTGACTTGGTAGATAGTTTACACTCGTATCAAAGAGTTCTTCATTTGACTTATGTAGATAGTTTAAACTCGTACCAAGGAGTCTTGATTTGATTTGACAAATAGTTTATACTCGTGTCAAGGAGCCTTCAAATTTGTAAACATTTTATGCTCGTGTCAAGGAGCTTCGAATTTGTAGATAGTTTATTCTCTTATCAAGGAGATCTTGATATGTAGACATTTTATGCTCGTGTCAAGGAGCCTTCAATGTTGATATGTAGACCTTTTATTCTCGTGTCAAGGAGATCTTGATTTGTAGACATTTTATGCTCGTGTCAAGGAGTCATATAGATAGTTTAGGCTCATATCAAGGAGCATTTGAATTTGTAGATAGTTTAGGCTCATGTCAAGGAGCATTGAATTTGAGGATTGATGGAGCTCTTCATGTAAATTGCCCCTATGTAATTTGAGAAGAATATGGAAGACCACTTTTATTTCCTCCATTCGGATGTTTGATGAACACGACGATTTTTGATGGAATCATGGCCTAGGAAGACATCATCCTTCGTTGCCCCCGTGTACATTTTCTTCACAGATGTCTTCATGCATCTTCAAAGATCTTAGAACTTGACTTGGAGAGAAGAGATGAGAGGTAGAGATGGTCTCACTGGGCGTGCCAAATTTGTAACAACAAATTTTGTGAAAAGTCCCACTGGGCGTGTCAAATTTGTAACAACAAATTTTATGAAAAACATAAAACTTTGGTATAACTTGAATATATATTGATCAAACGATATGCGAGTACAATCTCTGTATGTATCTTCTGATTCTTCTCTTCATGGATCTTTAACTTTTTTTTTTCTTTTTCCCGAAACGATAGAAATTCGTATAACTAAAACTCAGAGGATCCAAAAATTCAAGATACAAATAGAAACCACAAACCGGAAACAACAAACTGAGAGGCTCATACCAGATGGCCTAAAACCTCAACAAAGGAGCAAAAGAGAAAAGGAAAATATGAGTTTAGACACCCGCCACTGCTACAAAGCCTAGCAAGATAACTAACTCCAACAGCAAAATACAACAATCAGGAAAAAAACAGCTAAGCAAAAGAAACTAAGATAAGCATCCACAGAAATCATCCAGCAGCATGAAGAAATTCCAACCAGTCCAAGTGTGCTGCCTTGATCAACCTGTGAGCTGGTATGAGTGTTTTTTGAAAGACCCACAGGTTCCTTGACTTCCAGAGCCACCAAAGCAGATAAGTAGACAGTTGTATTCTTGCTTCAGCTACCTGTGAGGAGTCAAGAGAACAGATTTGTTGCCACCATCCTTTGAAAGTTGTTGTGCTACAAGTGTTTGGATCCCATTGGACAGGAGAGAGGTCCCATACTCTTTGAGCTCTTGGGCAAGAAAACAGCAAGAGTTCAACAGTTTCAGGCTGATTTCCACAGATAGAACATGTAGTCTCTATGTCAAGGCCCTTTTTTCTAAGGTGAATAGCCACTGGGAGAGTACCAGAGATGCATTTCCAGAGAAAATGTTTGACCTTATTCATGATTTTTAGCTTCCAGCCTCTGAATAGAAGAGCATTACCCTTAGCAGTTGAGGAGCTGCATTCTGGGATATCCAGTTGTAAGAGTTTCTTCTCAGCAAGGTGTGAGTAAGTGCAAGAGAC